GCTCTGACTCCTGGGCAGGCTCGAGTTCTGTGCATTTCCCTTTAGCGATTAAGATCTGAGATGAAGCATCCAAAGGGGAGGGAGAAGGGGATGGCTTGACACTGCTGTTGTGTCTGGGGTTTCTGCTCTTGTAGAATGCCTTTGGAAGCCCTTGATGTAGTCGAGCTGGAGCCAACGGATACCTTTGAGCTCTCACTGACTTGGTGTTTCTTTCATGCTCTTTCAGCTACGTCGTGTCGAGGAAAATCGAGCCTTTCTACAAAGGAGGGCAAGTTAAGGTGAACCCAAAGCTGAGTTTTTTTTATTACAAGCTATTTTTACCAGATAGAACTACAGTGGCCCGAAGCATACAAAGGAGGCTGATGTACTCTCATCTGTTTCTTTTCTAGATAAGCCAGAACGGGGAACATCTGTTCTGTTCTTGTGGGACCAAAGTCCACATCCTATGCATCGCAACAGGAGCGCTTGTTCACAGTATTGAACAGGTATTGTAGTCCAGATTCCTTAATTTCCCAATAAAGGTCTCAGCTTTTGCTAAAAGTTTTAGCTGTGAAGCAGGAAGCTTCCATCTCTGCCTTAAACTCTTTAGGTGCTCATAAGTGAGTTGCTGTCAGAAATGAGCGTGTCATAAGAATAGTCTGCTTCACAGGTTTGCTGTGAGAATCGTTGCTAATGTTTGTGCTTTGAATGCTGAAAGTCGCCGTATAAGCATTTACTGTTATTCATACTACACCTTTGAAAAGTACTAGACTTCATTATTGACAAGGGAGGGAGATCAGTTGAGTGCTATGGAGCAAGTCTTGGATCAGGGGTGGCAAAACTGCCATTTAAGGACATTCTCGATGTTACTTCTGTGGTCTGGGAAGCAAGTCGTGTCAATGTGTTAACGAGCTGCTCACCTGTTTAAGAGCAACAAGAAACTGAAGGGCTCCTCCTGTTTTCTAGGATGATCAAGAGGACATTTCGACCTTTGTTCTCAGCGATGACGATGAGGTGGGTGAGCACAGTGTGGCAGAAGATAAGTTCGGCAGTGGGGAAGAGAAGGAGGGGAAGGGGTCATATGAAGGCCAAGCGAATAATGAATATCATGAGACCAATCTGTCAGCTGCAAATATTGAGTTCTCCATAGAGATGTAACATTTCCGGAAATTTTGAAGCTCAGAAAAAAAACCCTGTTTTTTTCCGGTTTTTCCCCCGGAAAAAAACGGAAATTTTCGGAAAAATTGAAAAAAATGCTACATTAGCATTTCTTTTGTCTTTTCTAGATTGAAAGTCATTCTGTTACTTTAGGAACATAAAATATGACTATGCACATTTTTACTTGGCATGAAATTATCACAACTAGCATATTAAAAATATAGTGTATCCAAACAATTATTACAAACAGAATACCCACCCACATGCAAAAACAAAACTGAAACCTTTTTATTTTCTTCTGACAATCGCACCTCCTAAAGGAAGAAATGCATCTTGTTCTTGCATTGGAGAGTTCAGTTTGTAACCTAGGACTTGCTTGTCCTCAGTGCACAGAAATTAGGTCAATCTGATACCATATATATATATATATATTTTAGAAATGA